TTGCGCGCGGTCGAGCTGCTGAGGTTCGGCGCGTCGTTCGCGCCGTCGCTGCTGGAGTGCGTCCTGCTGCTCGCCCTGCTGCTCGCGATCGTGTAGCAGGGGTCTGTCGTTCTGTTCCCGGCGGCCCCAGTAGCGGCTGTCCTGCTGCTCGCGACTCCGCGTCTGGGTTCCGCCTTGCAGCCGTGGCGACGAGAGGTCTTCAGGGCGAGCAGCGGTCGAAGGATCCACGCCTTCCAGGTCGCCCCGCGAAGCCGGCCGCGGCGACGAGGGGTCTCCAGGGCGCGTGGCGGTGTCGGGCTCACCCCTTCTCCGCTCCCCCAGGGCCCCCCGCCTCCCAGATAATTCTCGCCACTCCCAGGAGCGCCCATGCCCGCCGCCGCCCTCCCCGCGCAGACTGGGTTCGCTGCTGAGCGGCGTCTTGTGCAACGGCTTCGCTGGTTCCTCGGGGGCCCCGGCGCCCCCCGGGAGAGGGCCGCCGTGGTCCGCAGGGGTGGGCCGCGCGAACCGGGTGGAGGAGGGCCGCCGTCGTCCCCGCCAGGGTCGTCTCGGACCTGGGCCGTGCCGCGTTCTTCAGGGGCGCCGTCTCCGCCCCTCGGCGGACGGGGCCGTCCGGCGGGGGGGGGGGCGGGCGGATGGGGGCAAAGGGGGCTTGGCTGGCCGGGCGGCCGAGCGCGGCTCTGCCCGCCATTCTTGCCGCTTCCTTCCGTGGCGGCGACCTGCGGGCCCAGCTTCCTGGCTACCGGGCGTAACTGCTGCCCGAGTGTCGCCGGGCGGTGGCGGTCGCGCGAGCCATCGGCATGCCTTGCGAGGGGGGCCTCTTGGCAAACGATTGCGAGGACCTGGCCTTCCGTGTCCAGCGCTCGGCGTCGGTGGGGCGTCAGCAGTCGAGCCGAGGGGGTCGTTCCCGCAGCGCTGTCCCGGTTTGTTGCCGCGCGCCGCTTGGGCGTCTGGCTGCTGCTGCGCGCCGTCTTCACCTGCGAACCTGGGGTCGCCGGGGGTAGGGCCCAGTCCCGCGGGCGCCTCGCGCGCTGGCTGAACCGCGTATTGCGCAAGCGTCGTTCCTGGGGGCGCCGCTGCTCGCGGTAGCTTCCTGTTCGGCGCCCCCGCTGGATCCACTTCTGGGCGGGCCGGGCCCGGGTGAGGCGCCGCTGGGTTGCCCGGTTTTTCTCTGCGCGAACAAGATGGGCACGGAAAGAATCGGTACAATGCTCAACAGCGGTTCTTGTTCATTTTGAACAGGACTCGCTGTCCGCGCCGCCGCGGGCTGTCTCCATTTGAGACAGAAGGCCGCCTGCCCAACAGCGGCCGCTGTTGGTTTGGGGCAACATTTGCTGTTGGGCATTGTGCCCATTGTTCCCCATATCCTAAGATGGGGTTCTTGTTATTACTTGGACGCCTCCTACTCCTTCTCCTTCCTCCTCCTCTTTTCTCCTCCCCTCCTGTCGGACATACTCAGACTTGCTCATACACAGACTTACTCATACTAAGACTTACTCATACTCAGACCTACTCATACTCAGACTTACTCACACTCAGACATACTCATATACAGACTTACTCATACACACACTTACTCATACACAGTATTAGTCATACCCAGACGTACACATACACAGACTTACTCATACACAGACTTACTCATACTCAGCACCCCTAAGGGGAGCCGCCAGGGGTGGTTGCACGGGCTCGTTCGCGGCCATTTTGTGGGGATGTCTCAGGCGGTTTGCCTGTTTCTGTGCCCAACATCCTTCGCTTTCGGAGCAGATTTGGAGGATGTCTCGAGCGAGGCGCTCATTTCAGCACCCCTAAGGGGAGCCGCCAGGGGTGGTTGCACGGGCTCGTTCGCGGCCATTTTGTGGGGATGTCTCAGGCGGTTTGCCTGTTTCTGTGCCCAACATCCTTCGCTTTCGGAGCAGATTTGGAGGATGTCTCGAGCGAGGCGCTCATTTCAGCACCCCTAAGGGGAGCCGCCAGGGGTGGTTGCACGGGCTCGTTCGCGGCCATTTTGTGGGGATGTCTCAGGCGGTTTGCCTGTTTCTGTGCCCAACATCCTTCGCTTTCGGAGCAGATTTGGAGGATGTCTCGAGCGAGGCGCTCATTTCAGCACCCCTAAGGGGAGCCGCCAGGGGTGGTTGCACGGGCTCGTTCGCGGCCATTTTGTGGGGATGTCTCAGGCGGTTTGCTTGTTTCTGTGCCCAACATCCTTCGCTTTCGGAGCAGATTTGGAGGATGTCTCGAGCGAGGCGCTCATTTCAGCACCCCTAAGGGGAGCCGCCAGGGGTGGTTGCACGGGCTCGTTCGCGGCCATTTTGTGGGGATGTCTCAGGCGGTTTGCTTGTTTCTGTGCCCAACATCCTTCGCTTTCGGAGCAGATTTGGAGGATGTCTCGAGCGAGGCGCTCATTTTCAGCTAGTTTTGGTGGCCAGGCTCGTGGGCGCAGATTCTTCTCAGGATGCCACAGGAGGCTCCAACAGGCTCCAGGAGGCTCCAGGAGACCACATGAGGTCCCAGGAGGCATCAGGAGGCCACAGAAAGACTCAAGAGGCCACAGGATGTCCCAAGAGGCTCCAGGAGGCCCCAGGAAGCTCCAGAAGGCCTCAGGAAACCACAGGAGACCCCAGGAGACAACAGGAAGCGCCAGGAGGCCTCGGAAGGCAACAGGAGGCCCCGAGAGGCCCCAGGAGCAGGAGGCCTCAGAAGGCAACAGGAGTGGCTCCAATCCCATGTGTTTTACGTATGCTCCTATCGATTGGGCCTCACCTGGAGCACGATTCTTTGATGTTCTACGTATGTTTCTATAGATGGTCCTTCTCCTGTGTACACAATCCTAAATGTTTTACTCATGTTCCTATGTATTGGGCCTCTCCTGGGGCACGAGTCCTTGGTGTTTTACGCGTGTTCCTATATATTGCCCTTCTCCTGTGGCTCTAATCCGCAATGTTTTATGTACGTCTGTTGCTATAGATTGCGCCTCCCCTGGGGCACGAAACCTTCCTAGGAGGTCCCAGGAGGTCCCAAGAGGCTCCTGGAGACCCCAGGAAGCCCCAGTAGGTTTCAGGAGGCCCCAGGAGGCCCCAGGCTCATGCACAGAGACGCGCTCGTACTACTGAGGCTCATTCACACTCCAATTCATTCGCAGTTAGATTGATGTCCAGACCGTCACAACTGAAGCCCGTTAATATTCGAAAGCTCTTGCGCCTAGACCTTCACGGCGGACAGGTCCATGCGAGTAGATGCACATATGGGGAGCTCCACGCAGTGAATAATTTCAGTACACGTGTCGGGCGTCCAAATTTTCCAGCGGTGTCAGATCAGGGTCCGAGGTTCGGCTCTTCCGCCGTGTTGCTCGCCGTGCTGTGGCTGGAGCTCGTCGCGCTGCCCGCACTTGCGCTGCTGGGTTCCGCTTTCCGGCCGTGGCGACGACGGCCAGACGTGGCCTTCTTCCCCCCATTCCCTCTCATCGCATTATGTCTGCCACTGCTTGTGGCGAGGGGCGGCGGCGTGATGTGGCGCTCTCTCCGTGATTGGCTGCGAACCCAGGGCGGGGGGCTCGGCGGCGCAGGGGGGGCGGGCTGGGGGCCCCGAAGAAGGGGGTCCAGGGTCACTAAGCCGGGGTCAGGGAGGCCTTTGTGGCTTTCTCACCCTCGCCTGTCCGCGTCGCATGCGGTTGGGGCGCGCCGCTGATCGCGGATGCAGACTGCGGGCTTACGCCGCGCTGGCCCTGCGACTGGCAGCGACGCCGGGGTGGGGGGCGTCGTGGCGCAGGGGGTCAGGCGGGGGTTCGGTCGTTCCCGCGGCGCTGTCCCGCCGTTCGTTGCCGTGCGTCGCTTGGGCGTCTGGCTGCTACGTCGCGCTGCCCTCGCCAGTGAGCCAGGGGTCGCCGGGGGCCAGACCCAGCCCAGCGGGCGCCTCGCGCGCTGGCTGAACCGCGTCGCTTGCGCTAGCCCCGCCCGTGCGGGGGCGCCGATGCTCGTGGGACTTCCTGTTCGGCGCCCCCGCTAGGTCCACTTCTGGTTGAGCCGGGCCCAGATGAGGCGCCGCTGGGTTCCCGAGTTTTTCCAGCGGGGGTCCGAGGCCCGCTCCTCCGCCGCGTTGCTCACGAGGCTGTGGCTGGAGTTCGTCGCGCTGCCCGCGGTTGCGCGGCTGGGTTCTGCTTTCCGGCCGTGGCGACGAGGGGCAGCGATCGCGGCTGTCTTCCCCCCGTTCCAACTCTCGCATTAGGTTTGCCGCTAATCGTGACAAGGGGCGGTGACATGATGCCGCGCTCTCCCTGCGACCGGCGGCGAGCCCAGGGCGGGGGGCGCGGCGGCGTAGGGTGGGCGGGCCGGGCGTCGCGAAGGGGGGTCCAGGGGCGCCGAGCTGGGGTCAGGGAGGACGTCGTGGCCTTCTCCCCCTCGTTCCCCCGCGTCGTGCTAGGTTGAGGCGCGCCGCTGATCGCTGAGACAGGTTGCGAGATGATGCCGCGCCCTCCCTGCGACAAGCAGCGACGCCGGGGTGGGGAACGTCGTGGCGCAGGGAGAGCAGGCTGGGGTTCGGTCGTTCTCGAAGCGCTGTCCCGCTGTCTGTTGCCGTACGCCGCTTGGGCGTCTGGCTGCCGCTGCGCGCTGCCTTCGCCAGTGGGCCTGGGGTCGCCGGGGGTAAGACCCAATCCGGCGGGCGCCTCGCGCGCTGGCTGAACCGCGTAGCTTGCGCTAGCCCTGCCCCTGGGGGCGCCGTCAATCGTGGTAACTTCCTGTTCGGCGCCCCGCTAGGTCGACTTTTGGGTGGGCCGGGCCCAGGTGGGGCGCCGCTGGGTTCCCCGGCCTTTCCAGAGGTGTCAGATCTGGGTCCGAGTTTGTGCCGTAGCTGGAGATCGTCGCGCTGCCCGCGGTTGCGCTGCTGGGTTCCGCTTTCGGGCCTGGCGACGAGGGACAGGCGTGGCCTTCTCTCCCCAGTTGACCCTTCATCGCGTTAGGTATGTCACTAATCGTGACGAGGGACGGTACAATGATGCCGAGTTC